TAGCAACACAAAAGAATTTTCAAAATTTTTCTTCAAGGCCCAATTCTCCACTCTACTTATATTAATGCTATCACATTTGTAAGTTTAGTTTCTTCTTCTTAACGAATTTGAAAATTTCCCCCGCATCATGCCTTAAAGGAGTTATTTTGTCTCCTGGCTTGGTTAATTTATGAAATAGGAATTTACTTTTAAAATGGAACTTTGGTGGGTGTGTGTGGCTGAGTATGTGTGTGTGTGTGTGTGTGTGTGAGTATATGTGTGTGTGTGTGTGTGTGTGTGAGTATGTGTTTGTGAGTGTGTGTGTGTGTGTGTGTGTGTGTGTTTGTGTGTGTGTTAGAGAAAGAGAGATGAACAAATTTACACAAAGGGAATGTTTTGGACAAATATGAGAAGGATAATAGTGTGTGTACTCAGGCACATTCTGCGGGCAGACGTGAGTACATTTTTAAGCTTTGCGACCTAAAATAAATCTAGGCCCCTTAGCCCCATTTAATGACGCTCGTAAACGCCGGAAATTTACTCACTTTTGCATGAGAAAACACGCCTGAGCACGGACTCAGTCTTGATAGTGCGCAAGAGAAAGAGAGAGATGAACAAATTTACACAAAGGGAATGGTTCGGACAAGAATGAGTAGGATAATAGTGTGTGTGCGCAGGCGCATTCTGCGGGCAGACGTGAGTACATTTTTAAGCTTTGCGACCTAAAATAAATAGGCCCCTCAGCCGAAGAGAGAGAAAGAGAGAGGGAGAGAGAGAGGGAGAGAGAGAGAGAGAGAGAGAGAGAGAGAGAGTGTGTGTGTGTGCGTGTGTCTGTGTCACACAGATCAACTCACATTCAGTGACAAATAACAATAACATGAAAAGAAAGGGAAAAGAAGACAGCTTGGAAAAGGTAGATGGAAAGCAAAACAAACTATTGTAGAGACTTGACAGAACGTCGGGGAGTGAACTAAGCACAGACGAATTAAAAGTTTATTTGCAAGCGCATTACAATATTATATGCCTGTCCACATTAATAATATATAACAACATTAGTATAACTGGACTACTTTTGCGCGCAGGTGTCGTGTAACAATAGTGCGGTCAAAAATTTGTGGCGCAACTTTTCCTCAAATACACTGAATCTCTGTGAATCAATGTCACCCATACTTTGCACAGCAGTTTGTATAAAAAAATGTCTTAACTGAATCATATATTTCCACAACAATTGAGCTTCGATCAAAAAAATGTTCTCTTCATAAATTTATATAAAATACTAGGCCTATAAATCTCCATCACGCGAAAAATGTGATTGTTCATAGCACTTCCCGCTTCTCGCACACATTTTGCATACGCATATATATATGGCCTACGTCATAGCTCGCCAATGACACTTTTTAGTGGCAAAACTTATACAAAAATGTTTTTATAAAGAACACATTCTTTTTACACTAAAGGTTTCCTAAACATACGTTCAATAAGCATGCGCTATTGCGATTGAAAAAAAAATGACAGACTTGCTTTTAAAAGGCAAAAGCGATATTGCCGGGGCTGTAATTTTTTTTTACTTTGTAGAAACAATCGACTGGGATTTTTTATTATTATTAAGGAATTTTCTAGAATACAGTGTGCAGGAGTTTGAAAAAATATTCACTTGTTAAGACAAATTGATAGCCTATAAATGAGCATTTGCCAAAAGGTGGGATACCTGGGTGTGACAAATGAGGTCCAAAATCAACTTTATGTAATAATTCTTTAATCACCCATATTATATAGCCTAATGATTGCTCTTTCAGGCTCAGTAACTGCCAAAGCAGTATATGCAATGGTCTTGGTGTAATTCTGACTTAAATGACGGAAATAGCAAAAAGTTCGTTCATAAAAATGATGACACAAATTTATGAATACTCAAAGTTCCTTTCTTCAGCTAGGCTGATGTTATGTTTTGAGACATAGCAAATAACTTCCAAAAATACATAGAATTGACAGTTTATAAAAATCTTTATTAATTTTTGATAAAATTACTTTTTTGTGTCATAATAGTTATGAACGAACAATAAGTGACCAAAATACTATCAATTATGTCAAGTTTCATTGACTAGAATTGTCTGAAATAACACTCTGGTCTAATTATAGTCAAGTGATAAAGGAACGACCATTGAACAGCTATTTTTAAATGCAAACTGGTCATAGGGCATGTTATGCATAAATTTAAAGTTCGTTCATAACCATTATGACACACTGTTTCGTTCATAACTATTATGACAAATTTTACTTTTGGTCCCTAAAATTTACTTTTATATTGTTCTATCTTTCACATAAAATGGTTTTCATTTATGAGGCTTTCCTTTAAATATGATAGGTTCCTCTATGTAGGGAGAATTCAAAGTTTATTTCCTGAAAAACCCTTAGAATACCTTAAAAATGGTTTGTTCATAACAATTATGACAAACTTAAATTTTGACCTCTAAATTTATACATTTTGATCTGTCATTCATTTTTAAAAACTTTTATTAAATGAAACTCTCCTCATAATATGTATCTCTGTACATGTTTTTAAAGTTTATTAACACTGAAAAGCCCTCAAAATATATCAAATGGACTATAAATAGTTAGTTCATAACCATTACTACAAAAGTATTTATACTAATTAAAATTCACACCCATACACTTATGATAAAAATCAAAATATCAGAATGTATGCAAGGTCTATTCTGTCCTTTAGTTAGGTTAAAATTAAAAATACATCCCAAAACAACTGTAAATTACAAGGAATAAGGTTTCGTTCATAACCATTATGACACACTGTTTCGTTCATAACTATTTATGACAAATTTTACTTTGGGCCCAAAAAATTAACTTATTGTTCTGTCATTCACATAAGATTGTTTTAATTTATGAGACTCTCCTCAAAATAAGGTTATATGTTGGTAGAATTAAAAGTTTAAT